CACTGTCTTCTGTAGGTTGCTTGATTTTGGAACAGATGGCAAGCCAGCAGCCTTTCTGAGAAGGAGGTTATCCTACTCGGGTTAGCCATGGCTACACTGCTATAACAGTAAAAACTCCCCTAGTCTCAGGGGTTAACATACATCAAAGTTCATTTCTTACTAATGCTATGTGTGTCATGTGGTGGTGGCTGTGGGGGGAATTCAGCCCCATGGAGTTTTACAAATACCCAGGAATGGTAGAAAGAGGAAAACAGGGCTTTAAAAAATTGACAAACAAAAACTGAGAAGTAACACATTATCAGCCACATGGGCCCACATAATGTCAAGAGGAAGGCTGAGAAGCAAACGGGTCTGGTGAGCATTATAATACCGCCAAGGATGGTTATACGCTCTTTAGTAAGGACAGTGTAATGACCCTTCCTGGAGACGACTAGACTCTTCTCGTCTTCTGTCAAGGGCCACTTGGCTGATTTCCTTGTTCTGCTTTTTGTCTAACCAAGGTCAATGATTTAAGTGATTCGCATATAGAGAGTGAGGATATTTTTTCTTGGTTTTGAACTGGCTCCAAAACAAGAGTATCTTCCTTGAATACAGCAATGCTTCTATTCTCCTCAAGCTCACTGTGAGATGCCTTCTTGTGGTACAGTCCTCATGGGGAAACCCCATGACAGCTTCACAGAGGATCCCTTGAATACAGCAATGCTTCTATTCTCCTCAAGCTCACTGTGAGATGCCGTCTTGTGGTACAGTCGTCATGGGGAAACTCCATGACAGCTTCACAGAGGATACTCATGCCTGGGATTCAGAGCTTGGGGCCAGGCAGGGTTCCAGTTCTCATCTTGTCTCTCAGTCGGTAATCAATTTCTAAACATGTGGAGGAGAGATCTTCAGGAGGGATCTCACTTCTTCCATGAAAGGTTTCCTGTGCCCCTTGGTCCAGTACAAAGTTTGAAAACTACTTCCTGGTTCTTGGGATACTCATCTGGAAGTTAAGATTTTGTCAAACTCCTGTGACTACGCTTGCATGCCAAAGTTTGCTAACCAATTGGCGGATTCAAATGAAGAATAGGGACTGGGCACCCTCTGATTTGGGCCTCCAAGCTTTGATGGTCAGTCACTTTGATTTTGTGTTTTAGAAACCCAGATGGAGACCACAAGCCCTGGTGTTTTGTTAAGGTTAACAGTGAGAAGGTGAAATGGGAATACTGTGATGTCACTGTCTGTCCAGCCCCAGGTAAGTCCATGAATATCCCGAGGGCCCTGAGGTGATGAAGTGACCACCCCCACCCTACACACCCCTTGACCCTTGCTTCACGAATGTCCATTTCACTCCTCCTACTCCTCTGTAGCCCTTGGGATGATGGGCTAGCCTTCTATCATCTCAGGGTAGCTCTAGAATGTCCTTTCCCACCTGCAGTTGGCGTCCTCGGCATTGCGTGCTGCTGTTGATCACTTGCTGTGTGTGTCAGGTGTGCAGCGCTCATCACTGATTGGGTCCTCGTGGCCTCTCAGGATGAACAGTGGTCTGAAGTCCAGTTTCTTGTTCCTCCTGACGGTCTTTGCTGGCTCACCTCTGCACCTACATCTGAAATAACATGCCCTGTCTATCTGACCGGTGGGATTCTCATTGTTCTATGGGTATCTGTCTGTGATACTCCATGTCATGTCTGCTTTTGTCTGTTTCTAACCATTCTTTGGGACCTGACCCAAGCACCCCTTCCTCTGACAAGTCCTCTTGATCTCTTGAATCGGGTGTCATCTCTCTCTCTGAACAACCTCCAGGAACGGAACAAGGTCACAGTCTCACAACCCTTACCACAGCTTTCTGAGTAACCTCTTATTCTACTAAAAAAAAGCCCCAAGGCATAATACATGTGTTAATGATGACATATTATACATGCTGCATGATGGATTTGTATATTTTGCATATATGTTTGTAGATCCTAAGCACCTCAAAATATGAATATAAAAGCAACATCTTTATCATGAATTCTAAAAACTTGTTTCATATTAACTAAGTTACCCAGAAAACCTCAGTCACTCACCAAACAGCATACCGAAGGTGTTCTGTTCCTTGGCTCTGGATGCTTGGTCAGCATTTGGTCAGAGTCAAGACTCCAGATATGACCTCTGAAGGAACAGAGAGAACTGGCTTGTGTAATTTATCTTCATGTGCCCCACAGATACTCCTGACCCAGAGGGAAGCCTTCTGGAGCCTGTGATGGAGCTGCCAGGGTTCAACTCCTGTGGGAAGACAGAGATAGGGGAGCACACCGTCAAGCGCATCTATGGGGGCTTTAAGAGCACAGCGGGCAAGCACCCATGGCAGGTGTCCCTGCAGACCTCACTGCCACTCACAACCTCCATGCCTCAAGGTCACTTCTGTGGGGGCTCCCTGATTCACCCCTGCTGGGTGCTCACCGCAGCCCACTGTACTGAGTAAGTGTCCACTAGGAATGGGGAGCAGCATGACTGGGGTGGCAAACAGGCTCTCTTCCCATTAAGTGGTGTCTTGTAAGTTTTGGCAGGACTGGATCCAAATACACCAGAGGGAAAAGAATGAAGTCTTGAACTGAGTGAGGATATAGCAGCCATGGCTTACCACAACTGTTCCACGTAGTTTACCATATATAGCTAGCTACCAAGAACGGTTAATTGTGATGTCTCTGATGCCTTCAGCACAGAGGCCTTTCCATGTGGCAAGAATTTATAAAGGTTCCGTGAAAGGAAAGACATATCATCATTTTCTTTTTGTAAAGGGGACATGGGTCTTAGGAAAGTTTAATGTCTAATCTGAAGTGTCAGAGTAAGAAGGCCAGCTGGTGAGATTGGCCTCAGATCTGTCTGCTTCTACAGTCTACCCTGAACAGGGCAAAATAACCCATTATCAGTGAACCTCCAAGTCAGGCATCCTCATCTATACCTCTGGTGACTTCTGGGAGCTGAGAAACTATCACCTGTTCCAGATTCCCTAAGTCCATGGTCAGGGCTGGTCTCATGAGCCTGGCTTAAAAGCCAGCCTACACGTCTCCTAGGCTACCTTATTCTCTGGGAATCTAGTGTGCTCCCCAAGAGAAGGCATGCCCATTAGCACCTACACACCAATTGCAACAGATTGGTTCAAGACTTCAAGGCTGAGTTTTAGCCAAGCCCAGAGAGAAAAGAGAGGTCTCCAGGAAAAGTAAGATAAAATGAGTGTGTGTGTGTGTGTGGGGGGGTGTTTCTCTGTATCCTGATAGCTGCTACCAAATAACCACATGGAGACTCCTAATTAATTATGAAAGCTCAGCCAATAGCTTAGGCTTGTTTATAGCTAGCCCTTATAACTTAAATTAACCCATTTCTATTAATCTATGTGCTGCCCCGAGGATTATTTAACCTCGTCTATGTACTTCCCATGTTGCTTCTTCTGTGTCTGGCTGGCAACTCCTCAGACTCTGCCCTTCTTCCTCCCAGCATTCCCTCTGCCATGAAAATCCTACCTAGCTACTGGCCATTTATCTTTTTTATTAAACCAATCGCAGTGACATATATTCACACAGCATAAAGGAATATTCCACAAGTGTGTGTCTGGACTCTCCATCCACTGATGGAGAATTTATTTTGCATTGTCTTATTTGGAACCCAAGCAGAGTTTTGTGAGGGAGCCAAGGACTGCAGATAAGGAAAGATGTTGAAGCTGAAGATCAGGGGCTTCACCCAGGTCACGTGGCCTCCCAGGAGCAAAGCTTTACCTCTGACATCTCAGGGCAATTTCACGACCATCTTATTTTACTTTGTAGCATAAGCACCAGGCATCTGAAAGTCGTGCTAGGGGACCAGGACCTGAAGAAGACAGAATCTCATGAACAGACCTTCAGGGTGGAAAAGATACTGAAGTACAGTCAGTACGTTGAAAAAGATGAGATCCCCCACAATGACATTGGCAAGTATACCCCGAACCTCCTGTGGGTCTTGTCCTAGGTGGATTTCTCCACTGATAGAAATCTGGGGTTTGGTTACAGAAAGTTCCCTTGATCATTTTTATCCCTCAGGGATCCTGTAAGGTGTGTCATTCATTTCAAAGCTTTTTATGTCTAGGGAGTGTGTGATAGCATTGTTGGTTGCTGGGTAAAGCTTTTCAGTTGAAGGGAAGAGGTTTGGAGAATGCTGTATCATGAAAAGCATGCAGCCTTGAATTCCAGGACTCAGATCATCTTCCTGAACGTTGGTTTTCTGTTCCATAAAATGAGGGCACTGTTATGCAGCTTTCAGATGACTGTGTGTTGTGACTCAATGTATACGTGCACATGAATGACACCTAGTGCACATAATGTGCACATGAATGACACCTAGTGCACATATGTGCACATGAATGACACCTAGTGCACATATGTGCACATGAATGACACCTAGTGCACAGGCGGTGCTGTTTAGACTGCTGGATGGATGCTCAGTGCTGTGTGCCATCCCCTCCACAATAGCGATCTTCTCTCTTTCCCACTTTCACTTCTTCCTCGGTCATCAGTAGCCCCTCCCTTTCCTGTACAGCCTGCTTATTTTAGTTGTTTTTTTTTGTTGTTGTTGTTGTTGTTTTTGAGACAGGGTTTCTCTGTATTGTTTTGGAGCCTATCCTGGAATTTGCTCAGTAGACCAGGCTGGCCTTGAACTCACAGAGATCCACCTGCCTCTGCCTCCCAAGTGCTAGGATTAAAGGCATGTGACACCAACACCCAGCCACAGCCTGCTTTTGAAGAATGATTGTGAATCCAATTAGTTTTGTTACTGTTGATATTCTTTATGTGTTTGGGTAAACCTCCCTGGAAGTTTAAATCATCAAATGTGGATGAAAAAGTTTTTCAGTCATGGGAGGAGCACTGTGGGAGGAGCACTGTGGCTTGCTAACTTGTCTCTTCCAAAGCAAGATGAAGCCAATAATCAACAACACCCCTCCCCTCCCCCCCCTGCATCTAGCTTTGCTCAAGTTAAAGCCTGTGGATGGTCACTGTGCTCTGGAATCCAAATATGTGAAGACCATATGTTTGCCCAGTGACCCCTTTCCGGCCGGGACTGAGTGCCACATCTCCGGCTGGGGTGTAACAGAAACAGGTGAGTCTGGCGACGTACCCTCCATACACACAGGAAGGCTACACCACCCAGAGAATAAAGGACCAGTGCAATCTGCCCTCTTTGCTCTTGAAAAAAATTAAAAATGAACCACCAACGGATGCATCTGCCTCATCATCCTTCAGGCTCTGCTCGAATGTAACCATTTGCATGGAACTTCCCCTGTGAGCCTCGGGTCACCAGAGTGGCCTTTGGCCTCCTGCTCTAGATGTGTGACCGCTCCCAAGCACTCGTTGCACTCCAGGGAAGACCTCTCTCCTTCTCTAAGCAAATTACAAAGATGCTGAGTGAGTAGCAGATGCGGGGACATGTGGTTCCCGTTAGGATGCTGGGCACGTGCCGGTGCCGTTAGGATGCTGGGCACGTGTGGTTCCCATTAGGATGCTGGGTGGTGTGGTTCCTGGTAGGGTGCTGTGCACGTGTGGTACCCGGTAGGATGCTGGGCATGTGTGGTTCCCGGTAGGATGCTGGGCGCGTGTGGTACCCGGTAGGGTGCTGTGCACGTGTGGTACCCGGTAGGGTGCTGTGCACGTGTGGTACCCGGTAGGGTGCTGTGCACGTGTGGTACCCGGTAGGGTGCTGTGCACGTGTGGTACCCGGTAGGGTGCTGTGCACGTGTGGTACCCGGTAGGGTGCTGTGCACGTGTGGTACCCGGTAGGGTGCTGTGCACGTGTGGTACCCGGTAGGGTGCTGTGCACGTGTGGTACCCGGTAGGGTGCTGTGCACGTGTGGTACCCGGTAGGGTGCTGTGCACGTGTGGTACCCGGTAGGGTGCTGTGCACGTGTGGTACCCGGTAGGGTGCTGTGCACGTGTGGTACCCGGTAGGGTGCTGTGCACGTGTGGTACCCGGTAGATTGCTGTGCACGTGTGGTTCCTGGTAGGGTGCTGTGCACGTGTGGTTCCCGGTAGGATGCTGGACACGTGTGTTACCCAGTAGGATGCTGGGCAGTGTGGTTCCTGGTAGGGTGCTGTGCACGTGTGGTTCCCGGTAGGGTGCTGGGCACGTGTGGTACCCGGTAGGGTGCTAGGCACGTGTGGTTCCCGGTGGGGTGCTGTGCACGAGTGGTACCCGGTAGGATGCTGGGCACATGTGGTACCCGGTAGGATGCTGGGCACTGTGGTACCCGGTAGGGTGCTGGGCACGTGTGGTACCCGGTAGGGTGCTAGGCACGTGTGGTTCCCGGTGGGGTGCTGTGCACGAGTGGTACCCGGTAGGATGCTGGGCACATGTGGTACCCGGTAGGATGCTGGGCACGTGTGGCTACTGGTAGGGTGCTGTGCATGTGTGGTTCCCGGTAGGATGCTGGGCACTTGTGGTACCCGGTAGGATGCTGGGCACGTGTGGAGCCCGGTAGGATGCTGGGCACGTGTGGAGCCCGGTAGGATGCTGGGCACGTATGGAGCCCGGTAGGATGCTGGGCACGTGTGGTACCCGGTAGGATGCTGGGCACGTGTGGAGCCCGGTAGGATGCTGGGCACGTGTGGAGCCCGGTAGGATGCTGGGCACGTGTGGAGCCCGGTAGGATGCTGGGCACGTGTGGAGCCCGGTAGGATGCTGGGCACGTGTGGAGCCCGGTAGGATGCTGGGCAGAGCATATGTGAGCACAGGGACAGAGATAATACTGTTTTAAGCTACTGAGTTAGACAGCCCCTCAATGTCAGGTATTCTTTCAGTAGATTCTTGGTTTTGTTTCTCAAGCAGCTCAGTTTTACTTTGTCAATTGTCATTTTTTACCTCCAGGGCTTGGATTATGCACACCAAAATTGTATCTTAAATACAAAGAACTTCAGAAGAGTATTTTCAAGTCTTTGCCAAATGCTCTAAATATGTCACCCCCTTCTTAATAACGGGCAGCAAGAAAATCACTTTGAATAGGTTTAGATTCATGAGGAGAGGGAAATAGAATGTACATACGCATTTGCCAGAGGCTCAGGGGAAAGAAAATCTCTGCCTAATTGGACTTAAGGTCAACCAGGAAAGTTTCTGTAGCCCTTTGTTGTAGTCCGTCTAAGCCTTTCCACTTGTGCTGTCCTTAAAGGGTCTGCTCAGCTGGCGACATCTTAGTCGGGAATCCTATAGGGCCTCAGTTTAGAACGTCTTTATTTTACACAAATAGTCCTTAAGACTATGTTCAAAGTCAAAGATGTTTTGAGAAATTTCATTATCTTTGAGAAGGGGGCATCTTCTCTGGGAAGCAGATAATCTAACATATCAGGGCACATCAACCATCCACCCACCTATCTATGCATACATGAATCCATCTGTCTATCCACCTGCCCCCATCCGTCCATGCATCCGTGAGACCACCCTTGCATTTATCCATCCATTTCTTCAGAACCTACTATGTGCTAGATGCATGGAATTAAAGATGGTTACAGACCATCCCCGCTTTCCAGGATTCATGACCTAGTTGAGAAGGTAGAGAGTGGATTTTCTCAAATGGGATCAGAGTGGCTTTGAAAGTCTGCACAAGCATGTGGCGATGCGGGTGCAGGAAAGTAGAACTAGCATTGGAGGGCGGAACATTTCTTCCCATCCTCTATTAAAATATTTTTCTCCCTCAACTGAGAGCCAGTGGCTTCTTTCTTACTAATGGTGACTCCTAGTAGGGTGGGTATCACTCCAGTCTTCATGGTAGTGACTGTTTTCTTCCCACAGGGGAAGGGTCCCGCCAGCTCCTGGATGCTAAAGTCAAGCTGATCTCTAACCCTTTGTGCAACTCCCACCGACTCTATGACCGTACAATTGATGACAGTATGATCTGTGCAGGGAACTTGCAGAAGCCTGGATCAGACACCTGCCAGGTCAGAGGCTCCACGTGGTCCTTGGAGGCAGAGGCTTACGGAATACCACGCTGAGAAGAGAGGCCTGTTATAGCTCTGGGGTGGGAACCTGGGTCAGCAGGCCACCTGCTTCAGTGTTTAGACACAGGTGGGCAGACCTCTCTGAGCCTACATCAAGCTGGGATGAGTTGGCATAATAGCCATGGTGGCAGGTTGCTGCATCGCCTGGCTTAACTCTCCCAGCATCCTCTGAAAGGGACGTCACCATCAGCACATTGCAGAGGTTTGGAGACATTAATAGCAGCCGGGCACTAAGTGGTGGGAGTGGGACACCAAGGTCTTTGCTACTTTGCTCCACTGTGAGAATGGCATACTCCCAGATGCTGAGGTCTATGGAGACTCAATGGTGCTCCTGGAGACAGAGGGGGTGGTGATTCCACCAACTCTATGCAAAGGTGACCTCAGGCCCCTGCCCCAAAGCAAAGTCCATACTCTGTTTAGCTCAGGGCTCCTGCCACAAGGAATAAATCCTTCCTAGGCTCCCAAGAGGCTTTCTGTTTGTCCCTTATACACTGCCCAACTGTCCTCAGAAATCCAGCATAGCTACATTCTCATCTTACATCATGATAAGCCTCCCTACAAAGGGACCCAAGGTAACTAGTCAACCCACAGCCCCACTGGGTTGGGAAACTGAGTTTCTTGATCTAGAGTCTGTGGCTCTGCTGTGACCCTCTGCCCCCTCCCTCTCCATGGGGGCATGGGAAGCCACAAACCCAGGACAGAAAAGAGCAAGTGGATGTGGTTTCCCTTAAGCTCTTGGAAGATGAGCAGGACCACAGGCTACTCAGTTCTCTAGATAATCCCAGGGCTATAGCGAACAGATTTCAAAGCTGATAGGTAGCCATGGTTTTGAAGCCTGGTTCTGTCTTGTGTTATATGCCCTGGGTCAATGTGGCCATCAGGTCACAAGGTATTGGTTATGATTAGGTTAGGAGGGGCAAGGTCATGTGATAAAAGCTGTTAGGTGCAGTGACTAAGCCAGCTCTTTTCCTCACTGCCTCCCTCCTGCCCATCTCTATCCCAGTCTAAGCACTGCAAAAAGAATCGGGAGTACAGCTCCTCTGTGGTTATCCACAGCTCTCCACTGAAAGAGCAAGGCCCCAGACACTGGTCAACAGGCAGTAGGTTGGACATACAGGCTGCCTCTGAGTCCTTGTCCTCCTCCTTACATATGGGTCTGTCCAAACAAACTGTTGCCTACCTTGGTCAGCTACTTGACGAGGAGGGCCCTAGGAACCGGCAGTGGAGCCGTCAGAACTGAAGTCAGGAAGCATTGTTTGCCCACAGCACTGTGACTGCAGCCCTGGGCTTCAAGCTTTCTCCAAACTCCACAACTGGAGCTGTTAGCTTCTCTCCCTTTGGAGCTATGCATTGTGGGAAGCCCAGGAAGAGCTTTGGCACTGATTTCCAGAGAAGCCCAGGGTAGCTGGCAGGCGACTTCACGCCATCACCCCCTTGTAGGAAGTTTGGGACATCCCTGAATCTAGTTGATAAGGCTGACATCCTATGACTCTTCCCTCAGGGTGACTCTGGGGGCCCTCTGACCTGTGAAAAAGATGGCACTTATTTTGTCTATGGGATTGTGAGCTGGGGTCAGGAATGTGGCAAGAAGCCAGGCGTCTACACTCAAGTCACCAAGTTCCTGAACTGGATCAAAAGCACCGTGCACAGGGAGAGCAGCTTCTGAGGTGCCGTCTTCGGAGCCGTGAAGCCCCTCCCTCCTCTTTAGAACCAGACAAAAGGGGTTTCCTGGGCAGCCAGGGATGCCCTTTTCATACCAGACGACCATGTAGCTGACGGACCACGTGCTGGACAGAGACACCACCGCCTAGCCTGGGCCTTTCCCGGCACCATTTCATGAGGCCCACTCTGCCACCTCCCCCTGGGAACCAACGAGAAATATGACAACTTTTGCTCTCCTTCCAACAAGAGTACCTTCTAGAAAAGCGGAACTCACAGACTGTCTTCACCATGGACACTGGCAAATGTGAGGTTCCTGAGTGTCCGGCATCAGCACCAGGGATGTTACCTGACTCTTACTCCGCGGTCCACACCATCAGGGTTCTGCACAGAACTAGCCAATCTCACCCAGCCATCAGAGAGAAGCCCCCAAAACACAAGCTCCAGTGTTTGCTTTCAGAGTTGTTTTAATAAAGTCAGATGTGGGGATGGGGAGGGCATGCCGTTTTTTTTTTTAACAACTCATTTCAGAGTTGTTTTAATAAAGTCAGATGTGGGGATGGGGAGGGCATGCCATTTTTTTTAACAACTCGTGCAGACTGAAGCTGTGGAGGCATGCCTCTGGCAAGCAGCCCTCCATGGTGGCTTCTCTCTTGAGGATGCAGCTGGAGGCTGCTGCTCACATCAGCAGAGTCTTCTTCCTATTGATGTGCAGAATCTCCGAGGCATCTGGGTTCACCTCCCGGCTCTGATGATCTCTGTGCCCCCCTTGCTCCGGCCCCGCCTGCAGAAATCACACACAGCCCCACTCTGAGTGCACATGAAGCTCCCACAAGCCATGATAAGATGCCGGCCAAACATCCAACACATTCACCTCCCCGCTTTGTCCTCTCTTCCTCCTGCCCAAGAAAAAGGACCCTCAAGGCAGAGATGAGAAGGGAGAAAAGCCTGTGTCTCATTTAGATGTGGTGCCTCTTTTCTGAACAAAGTAGGGTTCAAAATGCAGACTGTTGGAGCCAGCGAGTCCCTGACCCTTTCCGTGCATATAACGAGCAAGCACTCAGCACAGCCTGGGCTGCCCTGGCCCGGGATTGATGTCGCCCTGGTAGGTTTGCCTCTGCAGAACTAATGGCTATGACTTCAGAGGAAGCCTGCGGGAAGTTTAACCCGTGTGTCATCCACCTGGTCATCTCAGACCCATGAAATTAGGCGCCTTGTGCAGCTACCTTTCACGCTTCTTTAGAACTGGCTGACCTTTGCCCAAAAATAAACTTTGAAAAGCAACAATGAGTTTGTGTTTCCCATGGTCTTGCAAGGCAGGGTGCAGTTTGCAGCTCGTTACTCACATGGGCCCCCTGGAGACCCAGGCCCCTCCTGTTGGCCAGTTCTGCAGCCCGCCGAGCCATTTCTACTTTGTAGGAGCCGGGAGGGGTCCAGCCAGCACCTCGAGTCAGGTTCAAGTCAGATTTGTACTTGACCTTGGGGGAAGGAAGAAGCAAGAGTTGTGAACAGTCTGGGGGCTTTGGCCACTGAGCAAGTGGGGTGTAAAATGCAGCAAGGAGATAGGGACCACATGGACATCATTAATGTCAAGACAAAGAGCAGTCACGTGATGCACACAGGACCTGGTGTACAATGAGGCTGGCTGTCGTGCAGCCTCCTCTTCCCATTCAAATGGTGGGAGCTGCAGTGGGGCAAAGTGGGCTGGGGACACCTGGCTCCAGTCTAAGCTCCTATATTAATGTGCTCTGCGCCCTTAGAAAACTCACCTCCCTTCTCTGAGCTCCGTGTGCTTACCAGGGAAAGAATAAAACTGGCTTAAGTAAGTCTTTAGACGCCATGGAAATAGTAGACCAGAGCCACCAAGGGCTTGAGCTTTCAGATTGGACATCTGCTAAGCATCAGAGCCCTCATCTAGGACACATAAGGTCCTGGGCTCAATCCCTAGCAGAAAGAAAGGAAGAGGGAGGGAGGGGGAGTGGGGGGAGGGAGGGAGGGAGGGAGGGAGGAAGGGAGGGAGGGAAGGGAGGAAGAAAAAAATTTTCTTTTCTGTGTGATCTTAGGTAGTTTAACTCCTCTGTATCTTAGGTTCTTTATCTGTTAAATAAGGCAGTCCCAGGATTGGAGGGCTGCATAGCACGATCCTTAGCGAGCACTTGCTACAGGTGTGGCAGAAGTGGTCATGGCTGTCATTGTGCCCTCTCAGCTGGCTACCTCAGAAGGTAATAGGGAGTGTGTGGAGGTGGCTCACATCACTCTGCAGTTGGTGGGCCTTCTGGGCATGCTTCAGGCCCAGCTGTTCTGGGTCGCTGGTGTGCTGGGGCAGTGGCTGCCTGTAGTGTACATCACTGGCCAGTTGCTGGCTCCTCTTGGCCTGGAGGAAACCAGGTTGGTCAGTGCGGCTGTGGAACTGGGAGCAACCCTTGGCAAAGTCCTTCTTGTACTCATTGTCGCTCTGGAGCCTGCCAACACGGAGGAAATGCCTCATCCTTGGGTCATCATTGATGCTGCGGTACCCAATCTGTAGGCCCCGGTCCCTCAGGAACGCCTCTTTGTACCGGAACTGCAAGTCAGAGAAGCAGAGAGAAGTGGTAGAATGCCCCTCCCCATCAAAGCCAGCCTCCCCAGAGGGGCCAGACTCTGCGACTTCAGCAGGAAGCTCAACAGTGGGTAAGGACATAAGCTTGGGAGTCAAGTAAAGCCAGTGGTGTGGCCTTTGCCCAGCTATGGAGCCTCTGAGCATCTAACAAAGCAGGAGACTAAATCTCACCCCATGGGACACTGAGAGGAGTCAATGGTGCGGGACTGGAATTAACAGATGCCTATTGACGATGTCCATTCATGTGGCTGTTTTAAGTGACAGTCCAATGGGAATGGAAGTGGCCGTTCTTCCTGCTGCCCTCCCTAGCATGCAGGGACCTAGTCTAAGGCTTCTCAAATTGCCTAAAGTGAAGCATCTAGTTCATTTTACATAGTTACATTTCCTCTTATTTTTATCTTGTGTGTACATGTATGAGTACATGTATGAATTCTTGTAAGTGAGCATGGAAACGTATGTGCCACAGTGCACTTATGGAGGACAAAAGACAGCATTGAATTCTGTCTGTCTTCTACATTGTTTAAGACAGAATTTCATGTTAGCCACTGCATATGCCAGGCAAGCTGGTTATTGAGCTTTTAGGGGATTCTCCTAACTCTGTTTCCCATCTTACCACAGGAGAGCTGGGGTTACAGATGCACACTATCACACCTGAGGTTACAGGTGCACACTATCACACCTGAGGTTACAGGTGCACACTATCACACCTGAGGTTACAGGTGCACACTATCACACCTGAGGTTACAGGTGCACGCCATCACATCTGGGTTACAGATGCATGCTACATCTGGCTTTACATGGGATCTGCAAGTCTGCACAGAAACAGTTTCATAAAAGGTTCTTTACTACAAATTAAACAGCCAACTACAGAACCACAGGTTTCTTGGCTTCAAGTATTCCAGCCATCAACTGTTGAGTACCTCTCCTAAGAGAGCTGCTGGGAAAAATACAAAAATACAAAAACAAAAGAGCTTTTCAAATTTTCTGGCTATGATCCTAACCACCAGGTCTGTGTTCTCTTTCTTTTGAAACATGACTCTGTGCGAGTGTGGAGAAAGGCAGTCTGGTGGTCCAGGAGGCTCTCCTGTGCCTTTACTTGGGTAGCCAGTGAGAACCCTGCTAGCCACAGACAGAGTTTAGAGTCTTACATCACTGGCGATATCCCTGGACACCTTGGCAGTCTGGAATGGGATGGCATCCAGCCTGAAGTCATAGCCCCCAGCCCGGTTCTGCTCCCAGGAGTTTCTGTAGACTTTCTGGTTGAAGAAACAGAAACACTCATAAATAAGGAGCAATCACTGGTGCATGCTATTTTGTCTCAGCAGGAATTGTGCTTTCTGACATTGGGGTCTCGCTACTCTAGAGTTAATGGGACTGGCCATGAAGAATTCTGCTCTTCAGAGTTGTGGCCTGTGAGTCTAGCTCACTTGCTGCACCCAGCTATTCTCTGGGCCTCTGCACCATCCTTCCTGTGTCTGCATCCCCTCTCTGGATCTCAGCTTCTCAGACTCCTGACCCCAGAACCTGCAGCTCCAGAACCCAGTAGCTCCAGCACGCTGAAAGTGCTCGTCTCTGGGTTTTGTCACCCGTGAGCTTGCTCGGGCCTCTGACTCCCCAAGGTTGGGAATTCAGTCTAGCTATGATGCCTCAACCCATCACTAGGAGAAATGCTGCTGGCCACATGCGCTCCAGAGGCTTGCATGGGGGGCCAGAGTCTTCACCTGAATTAAATGGATTGTCAAGAACCTGGCGGAGTACCTGACCCTCATGCTTTCTCTCCTTCTCTTTTATTCCCTCCCCCTTTCGTTGATCCATGCCCCCTGGGCATCTGCAATCACATCCTCTTAGATCTTATGCATGCCACATCACTGATGGAGGCACCAAAATCTTCTGTGTCTTCATGTAGCTAACTATTTCTTTCCAAGGTAAGGCAATTCCTCCATGAAAGGCATCTTCAGGGACGCCAGCAGAGGCGCTTCTTTATTCAGCCTAAGAGAAGCCGGACAGCAGGAGTGTCACAGCGCCTCGCCAAGAGATGACAAAACGACAGCCCCTGACTGTGATGGCTGCTCACTCACTCTGAGGGCTGCAGCAGGTCAAGGGCCCCGTAAGAACCTTCCTTTTGTTGCCTGGAAATGGAAGCCAGGACTGGCTCTCTGTTCTTCAGCGGTTTGGAGAACTGAACAGATGCAGATGAAAGCGAAGAGCTCCTCCCACTTTTCTTCTGTGCCCAGCACTGGAAGGGGACCATGCAGTGCCTGGGCTGACCAGGATGGATGTCATCATCTTTGTGTGACTGCTGTTGTCACAACTGCCTTCACCATGACCTCCAACTCCAACCACCAACACACGAGCCAAATACACAAGGCACAAGGAACACAGACCCAAGCGTGGCATGGGAAACCACCTAGCTGCTGTCTCACAGCCAGCACCAAATGCTTCGATGTGCTGGGTCACTTCCTAGTTTAACAGCGAGGATTGGAAGGTCTTCAAGAGGTGGAAGAGTCAGACAATGACCCATCAACAATCCCTTTTAGCCGTCTGCTTCCTGTATTGGTGGCTTCCAAATATCTCTGAGCAGGAAATGGAGACGACGACACCCCTGAACACTCTCTCTGAGGGGGACCCCAGTACCTTCCTAGTAAGAGCCTCTACCCCCCAGATCTGGGCCAGTTAATGACACCCACAAACTTCAAGTCCAACATCAGACCATGTGGGTGGCTTATGTACCTCAGCCCTGGAATCTGGGTACCTCGGGGACACCTGTAGAGACAGTGGCCTGAACTGGGGTTGTTCCCAGCATGACAGCTCTTTCTCCTGGTGCCCCGCACACTGCTTGCTCACTGCGGAGGCTTCCTCCCGTGTTTTCCATGCTGCTGAGGTCTCCGCTTTGCTTCTTGCATTCTTTAGATTCTGCAGGCGCTTTGATTCGGAACCCTGGGCATCCCTCTTCTTGATCACAGTTTTGTCCTCGTCCTCACGCATTAGAGTCATTTCATTTTGAGTTATTTCGGCTGCCTTGCACATCTCAGTGGCTTTCTTTGCTCAGGAAGGTCACTCTGCCGCCACGTCCTCCTCATGGAGCACTTGATCCAATTGTGCCATCCCACACGCCCCTGAAGAAGTGCTCTTTCAAATGAAGTTCACGAGTTCTCCAATACCCCCTGAGCCCCGGGGGTTTAATTCCAGCCCTAGGGCTCTGCAGAAGGTCCCTCACCTTGAGAGTGGGCCACACTGCCCTTACCAGCCTGGGGTGGCTGACCCCCTTAAGCTGGGACCCCCATGACCTAACAGTTTCATCCCTGTGTCTGGGCTGCGGTCCTCGGAGAGTTACTCCAGTGGAGACCTGGCCTCCCCATCCTTGGGAATTAATGAGCTGGGCCTTCTGTGCCAACTCTGTAGAGGGGGCGGTCCAGCTTCCCCAGATGGAGGCCAGCCCACCAGAGCTGCTGTTCTAAAATTATCCCTCGCTCATCCCTCAAAAGCATCAAATGCTTGCAATAACTCATATTTACAAAGCTCGAGAGCATTCACTGTGTGGGATCCCACAGGGCTTTACAACAGCAACAAACTAATACACAGGCTAACTAGAAGGCGCCTCTGTCCAACCCCTGTGAGGCAGACACCTCTGGGGTGAACAGCAGCAGCTGTCGATCCACACACAGCCCCAGGACACAATGGCCAGGCCAGGGAAGGAAGAATGGCTGGACTCTAGGAGGCCGCTCGCTGCCCCGGGCTGACACACTCAGCCTGTGTTATTCCAATCCGACGGTGCCTTTTGATTGCACAGCTTCTCTACCTGTTAGCTGGGGATCACAGCACTGCTGGCTGAGAGGCTGCCTATTCTATTACAACCAGGGACCTCCAACCCCTGCCAACAACAAGCCCGAGTTTAGGAAACAGTGTCTTGGTTATGTACGCAAAGGGCATATGTCCAGGGGAAGCTGCAGCGCTGGCAGGCACGGTTCCATGCACAAAGGAACCAGCTGCATTGAGAACGTCTTTTCAAACTGCAGAGTGAGATGGTGGTCCAGGGGAAGCTGCAGCGCTGGCAGGCACGGTTCCATGCACAAAGGAAGCAGCTGCATTGAGAACGTCTTTTCAAACTGCAGAGTGAGATGGTGTCATTCCATCTCCACAGTCCTACTTCCCTGAACGGCTAAAGAAAGAGGTCCAAGAAATCAAGGGAACAGGTTTGTCTACACCTACCAGAGCCTGGGTACTATGGTCCTGGCCATTACCAGGCAAATGACCAGGGTCTTCAAAGCCCAGCCTAGAATCAGAATGCTAAAGCTACAAGAGACTTCCATTTAGCTCTGCTCCATTTCTTCCAGTTTTACAGGTAAGGAAACTGAGGCCCAGTGAGGGAAGTGCTCAGGAGTCACACAAGCAGTTTGTCCTGCTCTGGACCCTGGCTTCTGTTACTCTTATGCTCTCCTTCTTAGGACTTAAAAGAATAATCAATACAATCAACTTGGGGCCCGGAAATGTTACAGAAGCAGACACACATCACACAAGCCCTACTTACATCACTCAGGTGCATCGCATTAAGTCTTGCTCGGGCAAAATCCGGGTGGTCTGGGATCAGGGTGTACCTATGCATGGAGTCTGCATCCCCCGACCTGTACAGGCGCTGCGGGGAGACAGACTAATGGTCAAGGCAGGGCCTGGACACAATCGTCCTTGGTAAAAGCTCAAGAGAAAAGTGGCTGATGCTCTCCCCTGGCCCTCCATGTTAGAAACAATCCTTCTAG